AATTGTCACACTCAAAAACACATCCATATTTAAAAAAAAAAAAAAAAAAAAAAAAAAAAAAAAAAGGAAGTTTAGAGCCACACACAAAAGAGGCGGTAGCACTTTTTTCCTTGGGAAAGACAGCTCCATAAAACATGCTTCTGAGCTCAAACTGAAAATGTCAACTCCGGTAACTTAAGTGTTGTGTGCGTTGTATTATTATGGACTCTTTCCTAACAGTCTCCATATGTAAAAAGGTGATATAGTCAATAATGCATTCTCTACTAAACTCCAGCTCCTATAGGGGTAAGTTAATGTTTTCCAGATTCCTCTCACAGACAACCTGCAGAAACTCTACTTTGACCTTCATCTAAAAATGTAAAAGATGATTTCACAGCCGCTTCAACCTCCAACAGCAAAATTAAGAACCTGATGACTAATGATCTGCAGGTACTTATGCATTTGTGTGAAATAAAATGTGCAAAGAATTACTTTGTGCCTCAAACTCAGCACAATAATCTCAATACTACAAAAATGAACACACATTTCAATTAGTTACTTAATTAACTTAACTGGGCTGCTGCTTTAACTCCTAAGTCCTAATGAATATAAGAAAAACTTGAACTTTGGACAAAATTTTTATGTAAAAAGATAAAACAATAATTAGTAAAGGGCGGCACAGTGGTTAGCGCTGTTGCCTCACAGGAAGAAGGTTCCAGGTTCGAACCTCGGGCCTTTCTGTGAGGATGTTCTCCCTGTGCCTGTGTGGGTTCTCTCAGGTTGCTCTGGCTTTCTCCCACAGTCCAAAGACATGCAGCTTAGGTTGATTGGTGACTCTAAATTGCCTGTGGGAGTGGGTGAGAGTGTCTACATGTCAGCCCTGTGATAGACTGGCGACCTGTCCAGGGTGTACCATGCCTCTCGCCCAGTGTCAGCTGGGATTGGCTCCAGCCCCACTGTGACCCTATTGCGGAATAAGCCTTATAGATAATGGATGGAGTAACTACTAAAGTGCAGCCATCCCAATAACTGCTTTCTGCATTCGATAAGCATACAGTGGGTACGGAAAGTATTCAGACCCCCTTAAATTTTTCACTCTTTGTTATATTGCAGCCATATGCTAAAATCATTTAAGTTCATTTTATTCCTCATTAATGTACACACAGCACCCCATATTGACAGAAAAACACAGAATTTTTGACATTTTTGCAGATTTATTAAAAAAGAAAAACTGAAAGATCACATGGTCATAAGTATTCAGACCCTTTGCTGTGACACTCATATATTTAACTTAGGTGCTGTCCATTTCTTCTGATCATCCCTGAGATGGTTCTACACCTTCATTTGAGTCCAGCTGTGTTTGATTATACTGACTGGACGTGATTAGGAAAGCCACACACCTGTCTATATAAGACCCTACAGCTCACAGTGCACGTCAGAGCAAATGAGAATCATGAGGTCAAAGGAACTGCCTGAAGAGCTCAGAGACAGAATTGTGGCAAGGCACAGATCTGGCCAAGGTTACAAAAAAATTTCTGCTGCACTTAAGATTCC